TGGTGTCAATTCGTCGTCCAAAACCCCGCAGTGAGGGTCGAGATGTGCTGCTGCAAGATATGACCTACCACAGTACCACGTCAGCGACTCGCGTTCCTTCACAAAAGTCCATTGGTTAGTCCTTATAACACCGCACGGGCAGCTTCGCTTAAACCCGCCCTGATAGATGCTCGGGAAGCAAAAACATGCAACTAGATTTAGGGGACTGCAGTTTTGAATTATAACGAACATGTATGTGCTCATAAGAGCTTGCAACAATGTACTTGCAGAATAAAGTTACCATGGTTTTTATCTGGCATGTCCTTCATTGACAGTTATGATACATTTGTTTTTACTACTGCAACCCGCCCGCTGTGCCATTTTAAGACTTAAAATAAAAACGTTTTTCATTATCCTAGAAATATTTAGGTTACTTAATAATAATAAGTGCAGATGGATAATAAACAATGTTGTCCAGCTTTAATGACTGTCACGGTTAATTCTTATTATAATAACTGTTCTGTTATTTTTACGCTTCTTCCATTTTATTTACAAATGTCGTGTAAGAAGGGCACCGCGGAAATACGTTTTTTTGGGAAGCGATACAGTATTTTGCTGGTCCGCGGTACACCTTAACAAAATAACCTGAGGGGTTATTCTCGCAAGCGGCGTGTCAGTGGTAATTTAAGTTATGTTGTGCACTAAGGCTAAAACCAGGCAGCTTTTGTGTGGCTGTAGCGGTGTTCTGAGGACACCGACTTCTCAAGTTTGTTGAGCTGGTGGGTATAAATCGGTATGTCAAAGGCATTTCGATCACATTCGTCAGGAAGACGACAAAAAATGAACGCACTCGTCTACTTGGGGGCCCGGCCACTCGGTACTAACCGAATTATAGACTAAGCTGGCCGAAGCAGTGCTTCGTATAAATCAGGGACACGTTGTTGCAACAGGTGTAGGACTGAAGCGCCCAAAGGGTTCAAAAATTGGTCTCAACCCGAGGAAGAATTCACCGAGGTATGCGTTATGATACTGTACTTCGGGAAGGCTGGCGAAAATAAAATATTCCCTTTTCACATTTATTTTTGTTTCTTTGTCTCTTCTCATAATTTCGAATTGTTACAGTTCTTTATTTTGTTTTTAGCTCCTCCAAGGTGTGAAAACTGCTTTAAACTAGTTGTAAAGATATAATCGATAAAAGCGCCGTTTTTTGTCACTAACTTGTATATTTTAGCAAAACTTTTCGGCTGACTCTTAAGCCTTCATCAGTTAACCGCTTGATGTTACGCGCGAATTTAAAAACTTTTTTAAAAACTAGTTGCAAAGGTGTTGGGATAAAAAACAAAAAACCGCTGAAGGCTGAAGGCCTGGCTTGCAAAGCTGTTAAAAAGGTAATTAAAAATACATGAATGTTATTGTATGACAGAAAAATACCTACCATAAAATCTTGGTGATAACAACTCACAGTTAATTAAAACCCCATAAATGGATTTCATTTTCAGTTATAAACAGGCTACCCCCCCTGTATTTACACAATTAACAATCTTCTGATTATAAGGCCACCCAGGTTATGAGCCCATCCCCTTGGAACATGAACCTTTGTATAACTTTGTAAACACATGTACTTATTAATATTATACTGGGATTTCCCAAAAGAAAACTTCTCCTATTGTACGTTTTTTTCTACTTTGGCTTAGCAGGAATCCTTTCGAATGCTGTCCATGGGTCATTTCCACAACATCAATGCTGTTGAAAATTTCTGTGGAATACACTTAATGAATTTCCTCACTTTTTGCCTTTCAATTTACTGTATAAAAGCCTGATTTCAAGTGATTCGCAATGACTGGCAGAACTTTTTTTGGTAGTGCAACTTCAAACTCTTCACAAAATGTCACACCGGAAAAATTAATTTTGTCTAACTTAAGTGGTGAACTTACTGATAAACGCAAACTGGCTGGTTGTATCACAACCAGTGATGGCAAGAAAGGGTAGCAGCGACTTCCTGTTCTCCTCGGGCAGTGAGATCTTGTGGACTAGAATGTATCTCTTTGTTCGGGATGTACCGGAGAACATCCAAATTTCTTGACAGAAGTCTTGTCTGTGCGCCAGAAGGAGGACGAGAACATCTGTGCCACAGCACAACACGTTAACCTGCTGATGACCTGTAACAGTTGCGTCTGGAGTCATGGAGTACAACTCGTGGTCTGAAGAGGGCTCCTGCAGACTCTCTCTAGACGCATCGGATGACCACACGTTCAGTATTTCTCTGAACCCTTCACTGACCACCAGCCACGTCCAGGATGCGTCCCATAACGTTGTGACCGTCATTTCAGTCGACAGAAAATGGACAAGACTGGCCTTGTTTTCTTCAACGACAATAAACCTGTCCTAGTTACCAATTCTTTGTTTCCTGCTCTCCACATATCTTCTAATACTCTTGCTCGACTCCCTTGATATAATTTGGAAGCTATCGGTCGAAAACCATTTGTCCCAAAAGTGAGAAACAACAAACGCAGTGAAATTATCACTCCACTCTCCAAATAATAGTGCACCTCTGATGGTGGCTGACGGGTGGCTGACTTTGATGCACATTCTTCTGTAAGTATTGTCAAGATCAGACTTGCTTGATGTTAGTCTCAGGCATCCATCGAAAGTAATAATCGATAGTGGAACAGGAGAAGGTCTTCGTTGTAAGAGAGTGTCCGCATCAACTTCACGGCCAGATTCTAGGGCAACTACCACTCGTCTCAGCAGATCTCTGTCTGCCTTAATGGCAACAGTTTTATCGTTATCCAGTGATACTGGCACGGAATACAAAGTGTCAAAGGTCTTCAATTTCTGCTGCTTTAAACTTTCATGAAACTTCACTTCTTTCTTAATTAACCTGACTTGAACAAACTCCTTCGGCAGACCGTGCAGACTGAGTAAGTTTCCCATATAAAGTCTTGTACGCGTTTGTCTATTGAATCAAAAGTCAAATACTGCGCTTGTGCAGCCTGTGGATAAATTGCAAACTTTCAGATATATTTAACACTATTTTGTAACTAGACCCAACAGAAGGAGTCACAATGAAAAGCCCAAACAAGTGTCTCCAGTCTGCCCGGTCTCTACTGTTTTGGCGTGACCGATTCGCGGCGTTCGAACTTGAGAGTAATGAACAAAGTCGACGC